CATGGGGATCCCACTGCCACGGGGACCCACCACAACCAGGACCCGCCACCATGGGGATCCACAGCCACTGGGACCTGCTGCCACAAGGATCCCACCACCACGGGGATCCCACTGCCAAGGGGATCTGCCGCCACTGGGGCCCACCTCCATGGGGATCCCACTGCCACAGGGACCCACCACAACCGGGACCCGTCACCACGGGGACCCGCCGCCACGGGGACCCACTGCCACAAGGATCCGCCACCACGGGGATCCCACCGCCACAGGGACACACTGCCAAAGGGACCTACCACCACTGAGATCCCACTACCACAGGAGTTCCACCACCACGATGAGTCCCACCGCCACAGTGACCCACTGCTATGGGAGTCCCCCCCACCACAGGGACCTGCTGCCACAGGGACCCACTGCCATGGAGTCCCACTGTCATGAGGACTCACTACTATGGGGACCCACCACCACGGAAACCCTCCACCACAGTGACCCACTGCCAGGGGAGTCCCACTGCCATAGTGCCTCATTGCTATGGGGACCTCCCTGCCATGGGGGACCCACTCTTAGGGAGATGCACTGCCAGGGGCCTCAGAGCTATGGGGATCCCATTGCCATGGAGACCTCTCTGCCACTAGAGTCCCACTACCATGAGGGACCCACTGCCATGTGGCCTCACCGCCACAGGGGCCTTACCACCATGGAGGACCTGGCACCACAGGGCTCCATCCTGTGGGCTGCTGGCCCCTGCACCCGGAAGAGCCCTGTGTGTTTTGCACACCTGCCTGGGCTTGCAAAGCCTTCACCAAATTTTTTCCCGGCTGAAACCACTGCAGGTTTTTGTCGAACAGAGCCACGGCACCAAGTGCTCCAAGGTATTTGGGATACTGCGAAATAAATGCATTCAAGAGGCAATTCAACAGACTCGTGGGGAAAGGTTGATAAGGGTCCGAACCCAGTGTGAGGGCACAGCCGGCCCCTTAGCCTGCCATCTGCACACTGCCCAGGCAGGGGACACAGCAAGCCCAGCTCCGTACGCTTGCCCTGCTTTCACCCACCCACTCCGAGCACTGCTAATGACCCAGCAGGCCTGTGACCTCCCATAACTGAAGATTTGGTTCCTAGCAGTAACAGGAGAGGCAAGAAGAGACTTCAGGTGAGCCAAAAAAAAAAAAAAAGGAGATCTGATAACAGTAGCCACTGCCCTCCCTGGAACCTGAGCTCTGCCATCTGAGCAGGCTGTCGGCTACAGTTACCCTCACCCTGCCCCAAGACTACAGCCAAGAAACAAGGATCAGCCTCCTCCCAGCCTGAGACCTCCTTTTCAGAAGTGCGGAGTGCCATGGCTCCAAAGGAGACCAAGCAGTAGGTGCTTTGGCTGAGCTCTGGGAGAAGCTCCAGGTCTTCTGCAATATAGAAACTCCTAGCTAGCTCCTGACCAGTGGTCTGAGGACCATGGGCAGTCCACCAGCCAAAGATGATCGTATCATTACTTTGACTCCCCCTCTTAAAACAACAGCCCACAGCAAAGTTGATAATCTGAGAAAGAATAAAAAACAGCCAGAAACCATTGAAGAGCCACGGGGACTTTTGACAGATGCTCCTCTGCCAACCGTCCCAGAGCCCAGCAAGGCCCCCTTAGCTTAGTGCTGCCCCCCTTCCAGCCCCAGGGGATCTCCTTTCTCTGATCTCTCTAATCTGCTCTCATCCCCCTAATCGCCTGCAGTCGTATTACGGCTCTCTGATTCACCTGCATGTGCAGGCTGCGGGCCTTGGACTGCGCGTTCGTGCGCAGCCCTGCCAGCACATGTCCCCCAAACCAGGAGATCTCACCGCCTGAGGGTCCTTACCGGGCTGTCCCTGGTCTCTCAGGCCACGACACATCCGGCCTGAGAAACTTCCACTCTATCCACCTTGCTCTGTTCAGTCCAAATGATCAAGAGTCCATTCACAGCTCAGCTGGCCTCAAGCAGCCTTTGAAAGGATCTGGAGTGAGGTTTAAGCTCAGAAGCTCATCCAGAGCAAGAAGAAACAATTCGCTCCCTGCAAATCCCCCTGCTGCCTGTTAGAAGTCTTGCCGCTGCCCAGTGCCACCTTAGTCAGTGTGTGCCTTCCTCTCCTTGTTTCTTGACAAAGACTGAAAAGTCACACCCATTCCTATTGCAGCGTGCCCCTGTTTGGCTCCAAGCCTGAGGATCTGGGCTGGGCAGCTCCTTGCATGAAGACAGATGTAGCCAAACTCTCTCCACTGCTTTGGAGCCCTTCCTGCACCCCTGCAGACCAGTCAAGCATTTCCTCCCATTCTAAAGAGGTGCCCTCGAGAGCCCTTCAGCCATGAGCTCCAGCATCTCTGGCACTCACAAACTTTGAGACAGATCATAACAGTCCTGTATCTGGAAACGGTTTGAGAGTGATTTGGACTCTGAAGGCTGGCATGCTTGCAACAGGTGTTCCTGATCTGTCACCCAGCTAAATGCCTTTCCAGATAGACTCCAACATCTGGAGGCAACTGATAGGTTTTAGACAAACCTAAGACAGAAGGGCATCAGTGAGAGCATCCAACAGCCCCTGCAACACCCCAGTGTGCTCTGTTGAAGGATTATCTAAAAGAATGTCCAGATCTTCTTTTACTAGAAACTCAAAAGGCTGTGGGTGCTTGTAAAACCCAAGCCTCCTTGGAAATGTCTCTCTTGATGCAAATACAACCCCCAAACTGCCCACATTGGTACTGACATGCTAATGAACAGATCTCCATGGACCTTGGAATCTCCTGTGGCTGCCAACAAGGGAAGAAACCTCCTCTGTCCATGTCTGAGGAGAGAGGAATCTCACCTGATCCAGCCTGTCACATCCTTGCGTGAAGGAAGGAGGAGGGAGAGCAAGGTGATTGGTGATGGACAGCCAATGTCCTGCTTGCAGTGGGATGTTCCCACAGTGGGCAGAGCTTCCTGGGCAGAGCAGGAACCCGCCTCAGTGATTTCAGCACGCACTTGGGATCGGGCCCTGCCCAGGATTGGACATATGATGGCAAAAAATCCTGTGATTCCTATTAAGCATGTAAGCAGACATCACACTGACCCCATGCTTGTAACCAAAGGAATGATGAAAGACAAATCTGCCAGGGCCTTGTATTTGGTACCTGGATGCTGCTGCGCGATCTTCCCCTCACTGCGAACTCAGGCCTTGAACACAGCTAACACCTCCATAGACTCTTTACCCTTAGCAAAATGGGTACCCTCCCCACATTGATTTGCATCGGGGGGAAAGAGCATTTTAAGTCCTTTTGCTTTAGGTACCCATTTATGGACAGAAGTGAGAGGCAGACAAGAGCTCAGGCCTGGCGGCTCTTTGGACTTTGCAGCCAGTGTCACTGCCCTCTTCTGGGAAGACAGGCTGCAATAATGATCCACTGAAGTCAGGGAGCAGAGAGGCATCATTGGCAGTCTAGCTCCAAAATGCTGCTGCCTTTCAGCCTTGTTTAATGCAAAGAATATGTGAGAGGATGTGGCCAGGCCATATTGGCCTTTATGGTAACATATAACAGCCTAGTTTCCCAAGAAAATGAAACATATATGACACAGCACTCCCTGTCTGCCTGGACCCATGCCAAATTTCAGCCCCAGGTGGCAGAGGGGTAAAGGGCTTCACGGTATGAAGTTTCTACAGAGCTATTGAAAATAGCTGAGGGAGAAGATAAAAATACTTTACTCATGCCCTTGTGAAAGGGAAAGCCTGCAGCATGCTCTCTGCACATTAGACATTGGAGAATCCAGAGGAAAGTGTGCTGTCAAAAATAGGGCCTGCATGAAACAGGGCACAGTTTGCTCCTCAGCTTAGGGAGAGACTTGTAGGACTGGGAGCAGAACACAAGTTGGGCTGTGCCACATCCCACCTTTCAGATGGCCACTGCCATCAACTGTAAACTGCCAGGGACGATGCCCAGTCAGGACCTCTCTCACTTTGTGCTCCGAAAAGGAATGAAGTCCTGCAGCTTCCTCCTTTACAAAGAGAAATTGTCTCTCAAATCCACACAAGGAGAAACCAAGTCAGGCACAGCAACTCATCCTGCCCCCAGGAATGATTTTATTGCCACCTTCAGTAACAGTAGAATTGGTACCTGACATACAAAAGCACAATTTGGGCATAGGAACTAAATCTAGTCAGGAATCTGCACTCCTGGTTGGTCCAGTCCCTTCATCAGAGACATCCTCCTCCTTTCAAAGGCAACAGAGCTAAACCTAAAACATTAAGACATGTCTTCATGCCACTTCTTTGATGTACTCTGAGAGCCAACCCCAGCCCTGGAAAGTTTGGGCCGGAGTACAAAGGCTGTCTCGCTAATGCTTTTATCTGGAAGAGCCACAGAAGCCAGCAGCTCGGCCAGGAGGAAAGAACGGAGGAGAGAGAATAGATTTTGTGCTTATATGTAGGACTTCTTGCCCCCTCCCTTCTTCTTCTTCTTCTTTTTCGACTTGAAGAATAACCGGACCAAGTATCCCCTCCAGAAGGCCTGGATGCGGGTGGCAGCAAGGGTCATGGTGGTCAACTCCTCCAAATCCCGTTCCTTCTTCTTCTGACGTATCCTGCGCTCCTCCTCAATCTGGGAGTACTCCTGGATAAGCACTGCATGTTTCTCCTGCAGAAGGGACACCTGGGCCTTCTCCTCAGAGTAGAGAGCATAGAGCTCCTCATACTCAGCCTAGCAAGACAGTAGATATCAGCTACAGCAATTCTGAGAGCATTCAACAGCTCCTGCCTGTATATCCCTAGGTAAGGATCCTTTTACCCTTCCTGAATTCAAGGAGAACCACAACTGGCATCTGAGATGAGCCTTTTCAAAGGGACTAAATAGTAAATGTGTGCCCAGTGCCCAAAGAATTTCAAGAGATTCCAGGTCTTAGTATCTTCAAGCTCCTTTGAAAAATATTCTCATAATTCTCTATGTGGCAAACCACATCCACCCTCATCTGGGTCCTCTGACCAGGTAATACACATGCAACTCAGAGCCTGTCCTGCTTATGCTCTGAGCAAAAAGCCAGGTCACTGCAGGTAGAACAAAGCTGAGCGTAAGCTAACAGCTTTGCTGCGAAGCAGGTTATATCAGAGCGGCACCGAAGCCCACCTAACATGCTGCATACTGTTGGGTGCATGAGAAGATACAGGCCATGTCGGCATGCAAAGGGCTAAGGACAGTTAATTTTGATGGTGTAACCACAGGCTCAGCAGCAGTTTATTCCTTTCCTAATGCATTTTGAGTAGGCCACGTGGAGGAGAAGGGTTAGGGGAACGCGAGACTCCGACCATTCAGCAGATAGGAAACCAAAATAATCTGACATTGTTAAAAAACGGACAAAGTGGGGATCCTTTCTTACAGTTAGCAGCAAGCTTATAGGCTTCTCCCTACATTTTGCTTTGCAATCCAGCAGCTTTTATCCACCTCCATAAAAAGGGTAGGAAAATGAAAGCAACTAGGGCCTTGTCAAAGGAGAGGTTAAGGGGTGCTGACATGATTTTCAGCTTGTTATGGGTAATTTGAATGCCAAGACAGTGATATGCCAGCTGTTAAGGCCAGGAAAAACAGGAGCATGATGCCCAGTTGTCCCCTCACCAAATAGGGCCAACAAGATTGAGAATTGAAGCAAAAGCGAAAGCCCTGTTCTCTAACAGCGGATGGACATGTCTGACAGAACGGAAGTAACCCATCAGCTCTCAAATACTGTGAGATTTAACAACAGGTGTAACCTTCTCTAAAGTAAAAACAGCAGAGAACTCCTGAACACATAAGGTAGGGCAAAGGAATATTTCCTTCCAAAGCCTGTACGTTTTCTAGGTGATGGATTGCCCCTCACTTCTATATCCTCCTGTGTATGACCCACACATCCGTTTGGACAGGGATCTACCCGGATACATTACCTCATGGGAAAGCCAAGTACCTTAAAGAGGATACCTGTTTTTCCCCCATGTCCGCATCATATTTTTGGATCCACTTCTCAATTTCCATCTCTACTTTGCACTTCTTCTGAAACAAACAACAGGATATGTTATTTGCAGACACGTGAAGCCTGGAAGAAAGTAGTCTGAGTTAGAAAACAGCATGGCCTTGAGCCTCAACATCACAACACTTCAGCGTAACACCTCCTCCTTCTGGCACACTACCTCCAGCTGACATATATTTTGCCCCTGGTTTGGGGATTCTCATGAGCCAGATCTCCAGTCCCTGAGGCCAAAAGGGCCATATTTGGTTTACAGCATGGGGCTGGGTGAGCACTGAGGATTGAGACACATCTGAAAGGTGTATTCTGTGGTAGGAAATGAACACATCTTATGGAATGAGGTAAGTCATCAACAAACTGGGGAAAGCACCCTAAAATTGAAGCAGTAGGGAGCTGCTAAATGGGAAAGCAGGACAGAAAGTACTCAACAGATGGAGCCTCTTAAAATGAAAAGAGATTTGAGGTATGATTTGCATTAGGTGGGAATTTGAGATTTGAGAGGTATGGCCAGTTTACCCCCAGCTGCTGTATTCACGTTCCATGGCATCACGAAGAGGAAGATGAGCTAGGGCCCATCACATGGGCCACAGAATTTCCTGTGTGACACTGGCCCAGGATGTCCCAAGGGCTTCCAGGCCATCAGGAAGACAGACCTGGCACTTCCTAGCTATTTACACCACAAGTACCGTCTTGAACCACCCAAGGCTAGCACATGTGCTGAGGAATTCTGTGGTCAGTAAATCTCTCTTTCTGCTTGGGCACTAGACTGAGCTGAGCAGCTCAACACAAGCATCAGAAGAAACTGGCTGATAAAGCCACTCTACTAATGGAGGTATAAATACGTTGCTTGGATTTTGTACTGCAGCTCTAACTTGCATTTGCTCCTTTGTCACAGCCTGGCCCCACTGCCACTTTTTTCTACCAGGGCTGCATAGTTCAATGCAAGAGTGAAGATGCACTGTTACTGGCGTGTGCTGTCCTGCCCACAGGAGGTCAGGGTTTGTTTGGAGCAAAAACCAAATAAGGGTAAAATGAGGGGTAAAAAATGAGGGGTAAATGAGCTTTTTCTAGCTCCAGATTCTCACTGCCCAGTGTCACCAAGATGCTCTGCTCAGGCCAGAGCTGCTGATACAGAGGCTTGAGTCTGTCTGCTGCTCTTATTCCCTCCTTTTATGTCTGCTCAACACTTGTGATAAATCACACTTCCTCCTCCTTTGATTCAACCCTGATTCCTTGGCTTGTGTCCCCTTAGCAAACTACCAGACAGACTGGGAACTACTTAGCCTCCAAGATCAGCTGCTTTCAGCCCTGGATACTACAAACAATAAACTGTTAAAGATGGCTTTATATACAGCCAGTATTATGTTTGCTCTGTTTACCTCGTACCAGCTTCCTTGTTTCTTAACATATGCCTTGCCTACTTTGCAGTAGGCTTGCTGCTCTGAATTCTGAGTAGAGCACAGCCTCTCCAGAGCGCACTGTCACAGCACTGTGTAGAGGTGTTGTTAGAGGTAAGGGAGCAGACAGGGAGAAAAGGAGGACTTGTGAGCACACTACCTCCTTGGTCGCTGCAGGGTTGTTTTCCACTGAAATCAGCAGAGCATTAGGACAGAGCAGGTATATTCTGACAAACAGCATATGCATCCTGCCAGGAACTAGCCAGAACCAAGTAATTACTTGAAGCAGACAGCAGCCAGATACTAGAGCTCTCCTTCCATGTTACCTTTCTGAGAGCCAGCTCTGATTCCCGATGCTCCAGTACAAGCGTACAGAGTTGTGCTCTTAGCTGCTGAATGTCCTGCTGTAGCTTGGCACACTTGGCCTGGGAAGATCGCAGCTCCTCTTTTTGCTGGTTTTCCCCTTCCTGCGTAATCTGCAGGACACTGATCTTGTAGTTGTTGGCTACATCTTGCAAGGAGTTTTTGAGATTTTTGATCGTATTGTCCTTCCTGTGAATCTAGACCCAGAAAACAGGACAAAGAAATACCATCAAGAAACGGAGGGTAAGGTGAGGTATCAGGGGCAGAAGAAATAAGGCACGTTTGCAAAGATAGAGGTGACCTAAAGGGAGACACTTCCATTCTGGTAGCAAGAGAGACCTGCATTTCGACTGATCTCTGATCTGACCGTTTGTAATAATGACAAGATCTCCAAAGCTAGCAAAGGGAACAGAGTTAGTTAGTTTCCAAGATGCTTTGGAAACCTCTCACAGCTCCTCCGTGAACCTGTGAATAAGGTCAGAGATTGAATGAGCCATGCTGAGACCCACCAGCACTGTAATTTGAGGAAGCTTCCACAGGTGCTGCCCCATCTGAACAGGATCCAAAGTCAGAGCCACTGGAAACAGCCCACTGGCTTCATCAAGTTTGCATTAGGCTCAGAGGGACAGTCCTGGGGACTCAGCTCAGTGGGCTGCCTGCAAAAGAAATACTCATCTGGGACCAGTAAAACAGGTTTATTCATTATGCACTGGACAAGTTGCCAAATGGCACATAACAATCTCAAGTGTCTCAATTCACAGATCTCCAGGGAGTGGAGAGAATTCAGGCCCTTGTCTGCATTAGCACCATTCAGTGCAGTGCAGAACTTTCCTCTCTGACCCCTCTTGCTGAAAGGAGGGGGAAAAAAAAGCATACATATAAAACAAGGAATTGCTTGTCAAGAGTTCAGGGCTCAAATTCTGGCTCAGCCCAAGGTCTTGGGCATGTCCATTAGTTTACCTCTGTTGCTTTCTTTGCAAAAAATAAACATATGTTATCACACATTAATTATAAATGTTCTAAGGTTGCTAGTATTATAGAGTTGGAAGTCATAGAAATGTTGCTTTTAAGCAAGAGTGAAGGCTGAGTAGATATTAAAAATGCATTTTAATACTACTGCATTAATGACAAAATGCTATTGCAGCAATTTGTGCCTGTTCTACATCTCCTTTTTAAACTCGGTGATTTCCAAGGTGATTTAAACTGCCAGTGAGAAGACGATAAAAACATGTGAAATTTAAGTTTAAAAATCAAGCATGCAATAAGCCTTTTAAATTATATTTTGAAATGAAGTAAGTGTATTTTACTTTAGGATCTGGTTTACAAACCATTTTTGGAACTTCCTGTCTAGGGTCTGCAAGAAAAGGATTATTTCCTAGTTTACCAAAATTTTGCCTCATTGACCCTTTGTTAGAAAGCATATTCCCACAATATCATACCTTTTCATCTCGAGACTGGGTTGTTGCTGCCAGTTCTGCCTTTAAAGCTGTGAGTGTTTCAGTGTTTTTTGTAATCCGGCGGGAGATGTTTTCCATGAACTGAATCTTTTCTTTCTCTTCTAAGAGACTAGTCAGCAGTCTCTCATGCATGAAATTCCTGAACTCCCTAAAGGCCTTGATAAACGCTTCAGCTGATGACTGCCTTGCACAGACTTCATATTTCAGAGCCTGACAAAGTGAAGGGTTGGCGAGCAAGCGTCTCAGAATATTTCTAACAGAACTTTTCAGATGTTGCTCTAGCAAGCAAAGACAGTCCCTCTGTTCCTCCGCTCTTGACGTGTCCTCTTCTTGAAAGCTGGAGAGTAGGTCCTCCACTTTGCTTGAAAGCTTTTGGTGCTCAATCAGGTCATTTGTGATCGCAGGGCCCAGCATATCAGCAAACCTATCCAGAGAGTCAATAATACAAGGGATCAAACTGCTCAGCTCCAGCTTGACAATCGTCTCATCCAAGACAGATATGATTCTTTGGGTCTCACGAGTATTAAGTTTTGACCGACTTCGATCTAACATCTTCTTGGCATCTAATCCGATCACTTCCTTATTTGGAGTTTGAACGCCTTTTATCAAGGGCTTATTTCTTTGCTTCGTGTCCCGAGATGATCCTTGGAGCACAGTTGGATTCCCTGTTGCCATGGCTTCGGTTAAATAATTCTGAGCTGAGTCTTCTGAGGTCTAGAAGGGACACAAAGGGTAAGACCACAGAGAATGACTCAGTCGAAGTACATCAAGGTCCCTCTGCTGCTTCTGTGGCAAATTCTTCTTCCTCAGATTTTATCTTTAAAATAAAGTTTGGCGAGAGCGTTAGAGAAACAACATTATTTGGGAAAACATGGGAGTTTCAGATTACACTCTAGTTGTCCCTAGGTCTAGGCACACAATAAGGGCATTGGGGTTTTACATTAGAAGTGATCTCTATCCCAGAGATGCTGTTAAATGTCCAAATGTACCAGAACGCCCATGGGAAAGGAAGAAAACTAATAACCTCCCTACTTTGAAGGATGGTGAGGAGAAAGCTCCCAGCTCCTTCTAAGTAGCAGGTGAGATGGAGATCACCGATTGCAGCTCTACAATGTTTACAGGTGCGTGGGGGGGGGGCTTGCAGGTCTCTAGGGCCACCTCAGAAGGAAGGGCAGGTTTCCTGGTGGGAAACATGCACCTTCATCAGTTCAGGCCTGGTGCTGCTGGAGGGAGGAAGTGCAAGAGCTGATCCCCGCCTGGAGGGGCTGTGCTGGCAAGGACAAGGGCCAGGGGAAGGGACAGTGAGGGGGCAGAGGGCAGCCGCATGTGGGAGGGTGACAGAGAGTCAAGGGTCCTCTGGCTGTGTGTATGGGGGCACGAGTGCCAGGGGATCCCAGGGATCCCCCGGGCATGGGTCAAGGGGAGATTCAGGGAGCTTGAGGGGGGGGAGGGAAATCCCCTGTGCGTGGGTTGTGGGAGTGGGGTGCCAGGGGTCCCCCAAGTGTGGGTCCAGGCCTGAGGGGAGAGATGACCAGGGTGTATCTTGGCAGGGAGAAGGGGGAAGAGGGA